AGGTGAGCAGAAAGCCTCATATGTCATCGGAACCTGGAAGGCAATGAGAAATTGTTGTAGCATGACAGCCTCCCAGGGGAGATGGGGAGGTGGGATCGAATGGAGATGGCGTGCTGGCAGCTCTTCACAAGCCTCTCATCAGCTCTTGTTCTGGGACATTGTGAGTAAAATTGTAATATTTCCAGAATATCTCGCCTGGCTTTAATATATATATGCATATCAATAGGCGCTCAAGGGTGGAGAGAAGTATGGCTTTAGGGTATTTGCATCATTTCTCAGGGGTGGAGAGTTCATCTCCGTATCAGTGGGTAATTTTACCTGGACAACAAAGGGCATGTCTGAACCTGAGAAGTTAAAGGAAGGGGGCTGGCTTGCTTCTTCAGGAGCAGAGGAGAAAGACAGCTCTGAACTGCAGTTTGTAAGCAATAAACGGGTTTTAAACTTTATTTCTCCCTTTGACTGATTTCGGTTTTTGAAGATATTTTGCCCCGGGATTTCTTTTCCCGGACTTACAGACATCATGAGGCAGTCTGCCTTGTGGTAAGATGCAAAATAGTTTCAGTTCAAGCCTTTGCCTGTGTGGTGTGTGTAAATACACCCAAGCACACGTGGGTGCCACAGCACAGCCATTCCCTTATGAAATTCAAAAGACAACCAACGGGTAAAATACTTGAAACACTACAACATACAAAAAGATAACTCGGGGCTGCTACTTCTCTTATTTTATTTAGTATTTTTTAATCAAGTTTATATATGCATGCAGTTTAGAGTCACACTCTTAACAAAGCTTCTAATGGAAACCAACAGTCCTCTGACGCCCTCCCTGACTTTGTTTCCTAGAAGTAACTACATTTGCGGGGGAGCCGACTTGGCACAGGACGGCGCGGGAGCCTCACTGGTCAGGGACTCAGAGCGCCCTTGGGTTAGGGACCTCTAGTCTCAACTACCTGCCACAATGCTAGAATCACTGGTCCGGATTCTTTTTTGTTGAATTTGGGGCGAAAGTGAGACGATTCCAGGACACTCCTACCAAAGTTTAAAAACAGTGGCTGCCTAGGAATCTTGAGAAGCCCATGAGTTTTGGTTGCTGACAGAGAGGATTCGATAAAAACAAATCCCAGAGGAAGAAAAGCCCGCCCAACGTGGGGCTCGAACCCACGACCCTGAGATTAAGAGTCTCATGCTCTACCGACTGAGCTAGCCGGGCACTCCCAGTCACGTTTCACCTGTTTATTTTTTTCAAGGCACAGAATGCATGGTCTAGTTACACACTAATTAGATATCAGGATCTAGGATTTCGTGGATACTCAAAAGCCCTTTAACACAAAGGAAACCCTAGGCTTCCAGAGACTGATAGGAGTTGCTCAGGGATAGGCAGGGTCGAGTCCTGCAACCTCTGTTTCCGCAATTTCCTTCTGGTCCGGGTCACTTTGAGAACCCCGTTTCTGGGACCCATACTTCTGAGGAGGAGAAAGATCGCAAGGAACTGGATGAGAGGCGCAAAACAGGCGCGGGGAAAAGGAGGGGCGCGGGAACTTGTGCTCCCGGGACTTTGGCAATGCGGTCTCTGCTTCCTTCCTCTCGTCCGATATACCCTTTTCTCCTTAAGTGACCAAGGGTCTGAGGTGGGAGTGGGGCTGAGAGACTTCTGACTGGAAAAATAGATCCTATTACTATTCATTTGCAGCACGGATTTGTTTTTAAATATCAAAATTTTGTGTGGCCTGAATACATCCCACTGAGATTTAAATTTGGCCCGAATAAAAGACTATATTCACTACATGTAAACGTCTCACTGAGATTTAAATTTGAATGGGATTCAGAGTCTCAGGCGTGAGCGCTAGCACGAAATTTCACTCCACTCTTTAAAGCGTTCATTTTTCAAACTTATGAAAGAGATGCTGAGTTCTGGAGTCATCATCGAAGGCTTGCTCAGCTCAGCTCAGGTAAAGGCCAGGGAGCCTTCCTCTGCAGCTTGGATAGCAGCTCCGAGGTTCTCCACACAGCCCTGCAGGATCTTTGTAACGGCTGGTAACGGTCGCCTCGGTCGGCGAGCCGAGGAGTGAGCTGAGTGGAAACAATCATTCACCCAATTCGTTGACTGCACTTCTGCGACGCTGCCTGGAGCAAAGGCAGAATTATGCTTTCACCTCTAAAGAATTTTTAAAAGATAAAGCTGACTGGTCAGAACGCTACCGTAAGACCCGGATTCGTGCCGAAGTTGCTGCGGCCACGACGCAGAAACACTCCTGTACGGTCGTTGCGCGCCATAAGCAGGGTAACGAGCTTTTCCTGGATTTTATGCCTTTTAAAACAGAAAGGGCCACCGTGTGTTAAGTGGATGGGGGAGACAGCATCACGCCCTCAGCACCCCATCTCAGCTGGGCTGCAGAGCTCCCAGGTCCCGACTTGGGGACTGAAAATGGCGGTTGAAGTCCGGGGACTGCTTCCGGCTTGCCCCTTCTCATGCCCCGTCTCTCTCCCACAAATAATCGAGCCTCCAGGCTAGGAGCCCGGATTTTCCTATTTACATCTCCAGCGTGTATCCTGAAATTGAGGTTTCTGTCGCCGTAATGGTGAACCCTGAAGAGAAGCGGAGCTGACGAGCTGACGAGCTGCCTTCACCCCTCTATTTTTCCTTGCTTTCCCTCACCTCTAGAAGTAACCTGGCGCGATCTCTTACGAACTGCGGGCGCTAGGTCTGACTTCCTTATTCTGACTCCGCAGTCATTCAGAGCCGCTTTCGAGTATTTAGAGAAGTGATTCCTACTTGCCTCTAATTCAGAAACTTCCCTTAAAGACCCTCAAAAAGATAATTACCGTGAAGTGGTGTGAAGCCAGCTGCCAAAATCAGCAGACGGGCTTGGCTCAGGAACCAAAATACAAAGAAAGCTCCCCTACGTTTGCTTTAGTGGGAGAATCTCCGAAAACTCAATCTCAGGAAATAGGTGAAATCTTTACCGCTCCCTCTCGCTCCCTCGCTCCCCGCTGAGCTTAATTACCTACTTTAACTTTGAAGAGGTTGAAAAGTTATGCCTGCATTGGCCGGGAGTCGTACCCGGGCCAACTTCTTGGAAGGCAGCTATGCTCACCACTATACCACCAACGCACACTAGCAAAAACTGCCATTTTCTTATTAATAATAGCTTATTAAGTTTTGGTCCCACAGTTTTCTCATTTTGAGATTCGTGTTATAAAAGACATTTCCAACACAAAGCCAAAGGAGGAAGAAGAGAAGCTCCTTAGGATTACTCCTATGGTTATACCGAAAACTCTCTGATAGTTTCTTATCCTTTCACAGGTTTAAGGAAAGACAACTCTAGTATTTCTATCCTCGTTTGAAGGAGGCGTCTAGACATGCAGTGAGAGTTAAGGCTCTATAGTGATTTCTGTACACGTGTCGTTACACATTTGAAAGTGTTTCCTTAGGGCAAATGCACAAAGGTAAAGTTGCAATTGAAAGATAGGCACATTTTAAAGTTTTGGATATATATTGCCAAATTGCTATGTGGAGAGTATCACCAATTTTCACTATTTACTGAGTATTACCAAATTACAACAGTCAACTAGATATTTTCATCTCTTCGAAAGTGCAGGATAAAAATTTGGAGTCATTTTAAGTTGCATTAATTCTGTCACTATTGAGATTGATAGTTTTTCATGAATTCACTAACAATGTATATTAGTTTTGAGACTTATTAAGTCATATGATTTGTCTGTTTTTCTTTTGAGTATTTATATTAAATTGATATTACTGATTTATACCAGTTAGTCATTTGTCTTTTAATAGTACTTACAGGGTTTTTAGATGGGTTGAAGTTTTCAGTTTTTACGTAGTCTGTTTTATTCTCTATGATTTCTGTCTTTGCTTTTATCTTGGAAAAGTCTTTTCCACTCAGGATAATTATGCACTATTTTTTCTAGCTTTTTAATGGTTTCAATTCTTGCATTTAATTCTTCAATTCATTTATTTAATATATGGTATAAGGTAGTAATTCCACTTCTATGAATTTGCCCTAAGGAAACATATAGGGATATACACAAAAATGTATCTACACAAATGTTCATCAAAGTGTAATTTGTAAAGCCAAAATTTTAGGGGTGAAAACCCCGAAAATTCCAGAAATACGATTGATTAAATTCACTTAGATGAAAGCCCACATGAGTTTTGTTTTTTTTTAATTACATATACACTGTACATTGCTGGTGGGAGCGTAAATTGGCACAATTTCTATGGAGGGCATATTGGCAATATCTGTCCACAAATGCACATACCTTTTAAACCAACATTTCAATTGCTGGGCATTTACAAAATGACATACGTACAAGATTATTTATGGCAGCATTGTTTATAATAGCAAAACATTAGAATAATCTAAGTGTCCATCAATAGGAAGCTAGTTCAATTAATTATGGAATGTCAATACAATGGAATACTATGTGCCGTAAGAAAGAATGAGGATGTTTTGCATGTCTAATCCCGAACAATATTAGGTGAAAAGGGCAAAATGGAGAACAGCATGTACAGATTGCAATCGTTTGTGTAAGGCAGAGAGTATGTTTGCATGTGCTTCAATTTGCATAAAATAATTATAGAATTATAATTAAGAAATTCAAAATTGGTTGCTTTATCAGATGGAAACTAGATGGCAGGGGTGAAATTAGGTTTATCAGTTATGTCCTTTTGCATATCCTAACCATGTAAATATCCTAAACCATATTACCTTTACAAAAACGAAGTAATTAAATTGAAAGAAAATACGTTTGCTGGAGAATATTTGTTTCCACTGATAAGTGTTGGAAATATAACTTTAAAAAAAGGCCGGTAATAGAATGAGTAATATCTTAAAATTGGAAGTCAGCAGTTATCACTGTATGGTAGATTTGTGAGCAGTGTTTTTCTTTGTAGTTATTTCCTGTATTTCAGCTTGCGGATGCGGGAAGTGACTAGCAGATACAATAATGACCTAGAAAGGATTCTTCTGGTTAGCAAAAGCTGTTTCCTTGACCGGGGATCGAACCCGGGCCGCGGCGGTGAGAGAACCGAATCCTAACCACTAGACCACCAGGGAAGGTATTGATAGCTGTTTCTGATTGAGAATACATGATTTCCACTAATTGAGTGTCTGCTTACCCTTTCTAATGTGTATGTGCCTTTAACTGCCTAGGTTTAGAATTTCTTGAATAGCGGACCTTCTCCCTACAAACAATTTCTTCCTCGTATTTCTTTTTTGGTACAGAAAACCCATGAGAGAATTCCCACGCCTGGCTCCAGTGCTGAGGGAGGATCATATACACACATGGTCACAGTCCCCAAGATCAGACTCAAGTTTGGAGAAAAGAGCGAGAGACCGAGACTAGGAACTGTTTAGATTCACGTGGTTTCCTGAATTGTGCTTAGCAGGAAAGTGAAGGTTTCCAGCTGGGCTTTGCCCAAACTGACCAGAACTTTTCCTTAAGGCATAAGGACGTCGTGTGAGTAACGCTAGGAGATCCTGGTTCAACTGCAGCTTTTTCTCATCTCGTGTGAATTTAGACCAGTCTGTTGACTAAAAGGAGTATTACAGACAAGCGAAAGTCTCTCAGTCGACTGGTTTGGTCAGCAAAATCTGAGCTTAACTCGCAGGCGAGAGACTAATAAACGGACAGGGTTTCGGTGCTCAAAATTTTTTAAATATGGAGAAGAAACGGAGTGAGAAGAAAGAAAAGGAAAATGGGGGGTATGCCTAGAATGAAGGAATTTTTAAGCCATATCCACCAATGTATGCAGATTAACTTTATATGAGAGGGAGAAAAGCAAGTATAGCAAAATGTTGACAATGTAAGTGAAGGGCGACTGAGTATTCATTATTTTACTCTTTAAACTCTTCTGTAGAATTTAAAATTTTTTAAATGAAAAGTTGAGAACAACAAATGCTGGCGAGGGTGCGGAGAAAGGGGAACACTCCTACACTGCTGGTGAGAATGTAAACTAGTTCAGCCATTGTGGAAAGCAGTATGGAGGTTCCTCAAAAAACTAAAAATAGAAATACTATTTGACCACTCCTAGGAATTTACCCTAAGAATGTAGGATCCCAGTTTCAAAAAGACACATATACCCCTATGTTTATCACAGCACTATTTACAATAGCCAAGAACTGGAAGCAACTTAAGTGTCCATCAGTAGATGAATGGATAAAGTGGATGTGGTACATATACACAATGGAATATTATTCAGCTATAAGAAGAAAACAAATCCTACCATTTGCAACAACATGGCTGGAGCTAGAGGGTATTATGCTCAGTGAAATAAGCCAGGCAGAGAAAGACAAGTACCAAATGATTTCACTCATATGTGGAGTATAAGAACAAAGCAAAAACTGAAGGAACAAAACAGCAGCAGACTCACAGAACCCAAGAATGGACTAACAGTTACCAAAGGGAAAGGGACTAGGGAGGATTGGTGCGAAGGGAGTGAGAAGGGGAATAAGGGGCATTACGATTAGCACACATAACATGGGGTGGGGGCACGGGGAAGGCAGTATAGCAGAGAAGATTAGTAGTGGCTCTATAGCATCTTACTATGCTGATGGACAGTAACTGTAATGGGGTATGTGGTGGGGACTTGATAATGGAGGGAATGTAGTAACCACAAGGTTGTTCATGCGATTTTATATTAATGATACCAAAAAAAAAACTAAGAAAAAAATGAAAAGTTGAGAAAAATGAAAATGAAACAAACAAAAGTCTCCCCTAATGCCTTTTTTAGTCAGATGACCGACCGCAAGGTGATTAACTCTGCACAAGAGCTCAAACAGAAATTTTTTAAAGCAACCCCAGTACACTGAAGTCAGAAAATACTTTTGAGAATAAAAAAGATGATTAAAAAACTGATTCATCAATGATGTGTAAAAATCAGCAGGGCCTAACAGAAAAAATGGATGGGAGGACATGGGGGGTTTGGGGTTTGGGGGTTGTTGTTTTGTTTTTCTTTTAAAGTATCTATGTTAAAATGTTGTTTAAGAAAAGTATTCATCCTTCAGTCATCCAATCTCCATCCTGCTATGGGTTTAAATGCCAGAAATTAGGAAGAAAAGTAACTAAATGGTAGAGATTTATTTTCACAAAAACAAAGTAATCCTGTTGTCAGGTCATTTTCATCCATTATTCTGTCACCTGCTGGTAATTTTTGGTGACACATGAGAACCTAGGAAAAGTGTATTAGCTCTGAAAGCTAGCCTCCATTCTCAACATCAAAACACCAGGAGAAACCTCATCCTCCAGGACAGAATTAAAACTCCTCCTCTTCCTGGTACCACACACTTGAGGGTAGATGAAGGAGGAGTGTGATTCATTTACTTCACTCCATGTTCTATTTTCTTTTTCCCTTTTTTCAGACATTTACAGATCATATGCCAGACTAGGTAGTGAAGATACAAAAAATGTACTTAAAGAGATCACAGTCTAGTGGAAAACCAAATAAATAAGTGAATATAAGCAAACGGAGCAGGGAAGATCGAGTAATGTACTATTCCTATTCCTCTTGCTAACACACAACTAGACATTGCATATAAAACAAACATAGAAGCTCAAAAGGTAGAAAGGAGGAGACAGACTAGCTAGGGGCCTCAGAGCCCAAGGAACTACACAGTGGTGATTTCACTGGGTTCTCTTTTTTGCCTCATCTATCCCAGACTTGGGGCTGAAGAAGCCAGCAATCTGGAAATGCCAATGGGCTCAGCCAAAGGAAAAACAACAAAGCAACAACAAATGCCTGCTGTGTATAGCCAAAGGGCCAAGAAAGAGGCAGCCTGGCCAAACAGAAAACTTTTAGATAATAACCACTCTATGCCAGCCAAACACCACAGAAAGAACTGTGGCTCTCCCCTACTCACACCAGCAAGAGCTGAAGGGGGTGCCTAAATTTCCACCCTCACCAGGTCTGTAAGGAGGTTTCCTCCCCTTCCCTGCTAGATTGGCTTCAAAGGAGACTTAATAGAATGTGAGTACTTTTACCAACAGACAGTGGTAACAAGGCCACCCCCATTCCTTAGTATCAACGGAGGCCATGTGCAGAGGAATAAGGAAGCACTCCTGCCTCTCCCAGCCAGGCTGGTATTAGTGTAAGCTGAAACTCAGAAACAATGCTCCGCTGGCCATCAACAATGAGGAACCTCTTTCAGGTGTCAGTAGAGGCTTGGTGGGGAACCTGGATTCCTATACCTACCCAAATGTAACAAGAACCCCCTCCACTTCCTCTCCCAGTAGTATCAGAGAAAGCCAATTAAAATAGAAGGTTTAAATAAGATCCAGAACTCTACATGCCCAGGTTTTAATAAAAAAGTACTCATTATACCAAGAATGAGAAAGATCTCAAATTGAATGAAAACAGACACCAGATGACAGATGTTAGAATTATCTGACAAAGATTTTAAAGCAGTTATCATAAAAATATTTCAACAAGTAATTATGAATATGCTTGAAACAAATGAAAAAATAACATTGTCAGAAAAGAAAAGTTTCAGCAAATAAATAAAAGACCTAAAGAGGAGCTAAATGGCAATTTTAGAACTAAAAAAATACAATAATCAGGAAAAACAAGAAAACAAAACACCTCAGTGGATGGGTTCAACAGTAGAATGGAGGGGACAGGAAAGAATCAGTGAACCAGAGGATATAACATCAGAAATTATTCAATCTGAACAACAGAGAAGAGAATGGGGGCATGGAGAGGATGCACAGCATCTCAGGGACCTGTGGGATTATAACAAAAGATCTAGCATTTGTGTCACTGATTCCCAGAAGAAGGAAATAAAGAACATGACTGAAAAAAGTACTAAAAGAAAGAATGACTGAAAACTACCCAAATTTGGCAGAGGGATAAACCTACAAACAGATTCAAGAAGCTAAGTTAACTCCAAAGAAGATAAATCCAAACAAATTCAAGACATATCACAAATCGCTGAAAGCTAGGAACAAAGAAAACAATCTTGAAACAATTTGAAATATGACACCTAACCTATAGGGGAGAAATAACTTGAATGACACTACATTCTCATCAGAAACCATGGAGGCCAGAGGAAGTGGCAAATTTTTTCAAGCACTGACGGAAGACCATCAACCTGTATTCCTATATCCAGCAAAAAATATCCTTCAAGAATGAAGGTGATACAATTCAACAACAAACAGACAAACAACCCAATTTAAAAATGAGCAAATGACTTCAATAGAATTTCTCAAAGATATCCAAATGACCAGCAAACTCATGAAAAGATGCTCAATGTCATTAGTCATTAGGAAATGCAAATCAATACCATAATAAGATATCACCTCACACTTTTTCAAATAATGGCTATAATTTTTCAAATGGAAAATAACAGTGTTGGTGAAGATGAGGAGAAATTAGAACACTTATCTATTGCTGGTGGGACTATAAACTGTTTCAGTGGCTGTGGAAAACAGTTTAGTGGTTCTTTTATAAGTTAAACATAGAATTAGAATATGACCCAGTAATTACACTCCTAGGTATATATCCCAAAGAAACTGAAACAGGTACTCAAAACAAATGCTTGTACATGCACATTCATAACAGCATGCTTTCACAATAGCCAAAAGGTGAAAACAATTAAATATCCATCAATAAATACCTAGGAATAAACCTAACCAAGGAAGTGAAAGACCTATACTCCAAAAACTACAAGACACTCATGAAAGAAATTAAAGAAGATACCAATAAATGGAAACACATCCCATCCTCATGGATAGGAAGAATTAATGTTGTCAAAATGGCCATTCTGCCTAAAGTAATCTAGACTCAATGTAATCCCTATCAAAATACCAACAGCATTCTTCAATGAACTAGAGAAAGTAGTTCTAAAAGTCATATGGAACCACAAAAGACCCCGAAAAGCCAAAGCAATCCTGAGAAGGAAGCAAAAAGTAGGGGGGATCTCGCTTCCCAACTTCAAGCTCTACTACAAAGCCACAGTAATCAAGACAATTTGGTACTGGCACAAGAACAGACCCATAGACCAATGGAACAGAATAGAGAGCCCAGATATAAACCCAAGCATATATGGTCAATTAATATATG